AAAAACCATGCTTAAGTCAGAGAAAGTGGCGCACACCTGTCATCTTGGCTATTGGGGAGGCTGAAGTGGGAGGATCCCTTGAGCCCATGAGTTCCAGACCAGCCTGGGCCACATAGTGAAACCTCCATCTCCCATCTCCAAAAAAAAAAAAAAGCAAAAAAAAAGGAAGGAGAAAGAGAAACCACGCTAAGAGCAACGTGCCCCTCTTGTGGCACATGGTAAGCACTCAGAGTTTCACTGCAACTGTCATTAATAGCACCCATGTTAATCCTCTTAAAAACCCAATGGCAAAAGAATAATGATGTTCTATCTGCAGATGGAAAAAAACCAAGCTATAAAGGTACTGCAGTAGCACAGCTACTAGGCAACAAAGTGTGTATTTGAACCCAAATATGCTCAACTCCGAAGACCACGTTCTTGGGCAGTACATTAAGTCACCTAAGACAGAATCAGACTTAGCTTGGGCACTCAATAAATGTTATTTCTTCCCCAGGAACGGTTTACTATTTCAGCCAGCCACTGCCCTACACAACTCCAGCCTGGGTTCAAAGGAGAATTCATGAGCCCTCATTCCATCCTCAAACTCCAGCTAGAAACACGGATCTTAAACTTAAGCCTCAAGATCTGAGACTCGGGTCCCCAACCTTCCCTACTCCTAAGTTTCCTCACTCTCAAACCAAAATACGGAGACAAGAGAGAATTTTAAAACATCTAACGACTCTCCTAGTTCTAATACTCTTGGAGTCCCTAACGGATCAGCACTAGCATGGCCTTGGGCTTTCTTCTGATCCACCATAATCCTGGACATCACACAGCGGTATCTGCCTCCCACCTTCCCCGTAAGTACTCAACTGGGCCAAATCCCTTTTCCTTAAGCAGAGCCTCAATTCCCCTATCTCTACGTTGTTAAGAATCATGAAACTGAGTCTAGGAGCCCTGAGTTTGAGATTGGACAGCACTTGGGTTTGTCAAATTAGGGAGATGTGAGGGAGCCAACACTCCATATCGCGACTGTCGGGAACGTCAAAAGCCCCGTGTATGCAGGATGTATGCGTGCGGGACACTCAAAGAATGCACATGGTTCTTTTACGACTTCACAGGCGTCCAACACGTTTATCTGAGGCGCCCCACGACCAGTGGCTGGGGCAGAAACGCCCTGGCGGGAGAGTTCATAGGAAAACAGCATAAAGGAAAAGGGATGCGATGAACCCACGACCTCCACGCGCGCCCCCCGAGACGGTTCTGCCCTGATCCACGTGACGGAAGATTCCCCATCCTCACAACCGCCATTTTGGAAACAAAGGGGGCGTGGAGACGGGGGCCGTCGGCCCAACCGGAAGCGGAAGTGCCAAGGCAGCAGGAGAAGAAGGGATTACGGGATCTAATATAATCTCCTTTACACCGAATAAAAAAGGAAAAAAGAAAAAAGTTCACGTCGAGGTATCTGGCGCGCTCGCGACACGTCCCCAGCGCCGCCTCGGTTGGGACCACGTGGGGCGCGCGGACGCGCGGCGCGCGCATGCGTCGCGGGCCCGCGCCCTGCCGCCCCCTTCCCTTCGCCGCGCGCGCGACGGAACGCCAGAGGGTCACGTGAGCAAGGCGCGCGCCGCGGAACTGGGGTGGGGGGGGCACCGCGCGGCACAGAGAGGGGGGAAGCGAGGGGGAAAATGGCGGGGCCAAAGAGCGACGTGGGGAGCCGCCCGCACCGCCGCATCGCGACCCCGGCGCTCTCACCTTGTTTATTCTCGTTGAGCTGCCGCTCGAACTCGTCGAAGTCCGACATGCTTAGGCGGCCGCGTAGGGCCCTGTGCAGCTCTCGCCTCGCCTTGCCGCCCGCCCGCTCTGGCCGCTTCGGCTACTTCCGCCGCTGGCTTCGGCTACTTCCGGCCGCCGCCGGCGCTTCGCCGCCTTCTACCTAATCAAGCCCCCAGCAGCCCGCCCCGCCCCGCCCAGGCTCCGCCCCCTC